CGGCGGGGGGGGGAGCAGCGGGGGGGGCGCCGGGGGCGGCGGCAACGACGCCGCCCACCGCCGCCCGGAGCGGTGCCAGCGGTGCGGCAGCGGGGACAGACGCTGCTGCTGCTGCTGCTGCTGCAACTGCTGCAACTGCTGCTACTGCTGCTGGGACCCAAGCGGCGGCGGCGGCGGCGGCGGCGGTGGGGAGTTCAGCGGCGGCAGCTCCTGTGGCCGCTCCGGCGACGGCTGCCAACGGCGGGGTGGCCAACGGCACCGCCGGTGCTCAGGTAGGAAGTGGATATACAGCCTCTCTGGTGGCGTAAGGTAGGTATGGCGGTGTGTATACCGTAGGTTGCAAAAGGTGCCACCCCTGGACCGATTAGCAAAGCCCGATCACTCCGCAGTACATACGGCCGTGACGGTGCCGAAGACTGGCGGCGTTGGAAGCGTCTCGTCGAGAGCTTTCCCGACACACAAGTTTCGCTTGAGTTTGGCGCCCTCTTCGTCGTTAAAGTGCTTGTTTGGACGGCCCAGGCTTGCGGTACGTGCTGGATCCTACAGAAACGCCTGTTCCTGTGACGGAGGATCATCGTGCGTTGATTTTACAGTACGGTGACACGCGGACGTCTCGCCGGACTGTCGAATCAACGCTCGTTGATCCCCTGTCACAGGGGCGGGCTTTGGGTAGGATCCAACGTGTACCCCAAGCTTGTACGCAGGAACAAAGAAAAAGCTTTCACGACGAAGAGGACACCAAATTCAGCCGATCGCGTTTTTCCGGAATGATTTCGTTTCGACGAGAGGGTGCCTGCCGCGCATCACCGCTCTGTAATACAGTTCCAACACACGAGTATCCCCACCGGTCACAGGGACTATCGTTTCTGTTGGATCCAACGTGTACCCCAAGCCTCGGTCGGCCGTCCAAACAAGCACCAAAGTGCTCGAACCGCTTGGGGACACCGGCATCCCCTTATTTTCTCGGGGAATTTCGGGGGGGAGAGAGCGAGTTCTCGCACCAAGAAGGAAACTCGATTCGATGGTTGCACACCTAACACTTCTGAAAGATGGAGATATCGCCCACTCGAATGAAGAAGTTGGCAGAATGAAGAAGTTGATGTAGCCTCGCAAAATTGATATCCAAGTCTGAGAACTTCAGAGCCATTTGTGAGCCCGTTTGAGAACCCCAAACACGAGAGCAATCGAGTTTCGAGAATCGGTTTCATGCCTCTCACCGCGCGTTTTTTTCGGGCCGCACACCTCCTTGCAGTAGGTGGAGGAGAGTCTTAGTCGGCCACAGCGGTAGTGGGTTCACTCGATGCGGGTTGACTTGTTCGGCGCGCCGCCGCCGCCCTCCTTAACTGCCCCTCGCTCTCACCGAACCTGGTACACGACCCATTTGATGGCATCCATCCGTCACACGCCGGACGTTGTTTTTCGCTTGTGCGTGGTTTCACACTCATTCCATGACATCCATCGTCACGCGCCGGACGTTGTTTTTCGCTTGTGCGTGGTTTCACCCTCGAAGGTGGGGGCTGCGGCTGCCGCTTCGGGGGCACCCGGCGGCGGCAGCAGCGGTGGCGGCGCCACCGCGATGGAGGTTGACACGCCGAGCCCTGACTCGTCTGGCAACCAGGGCAAGGTGAGCAGGCGCTCGCGCCTTGGCGATGCAAGTGGAAGAGCGCCACCTAGTCTCTCGTCTCGTCTGCTCCAACTTGTAGCGGGCTGCTCAAGTTGCGGTGGTGGCGGCGGCGGCGGCAGCTGGAATTGCAGTGTACCGCGTTCCTTCTGCACTTTTTTTCACGAGCTGCGTGCCTCAAGCTCTCACCCAGCGCTGACGACGATAAGTTTGATCGCACGGAGAGAAGAGGTAACGCGTCGTAGAACAGTCTGCCCGCGCTTTGCTCTTACCACGCCACTGGCTTGAGGCTTGAGGTCTCGCGCATATGTGGTGCTCGGGGAGGGGTCACCCTACCAGGTATTGTTTATAGTCGCTTCCTCCTCCCCCGCCGCCCGGCGCTAACGACCCCGTAGCCCCGGCCACAGCGAATCCCAACCTTCGCAGGCGTTTGCACTCACCTGCCAACATGCAATATCCTCTCCAAATCAATCTTATCCTTACCACACCCCCCATCTACCCCCACCTTTGGCAGAGTAGGAAGGAACGGTTGGCCATCGGTGATCGATCCTGTGGGAAACAATGCTCCGTCCTCTCGAGGACTGACGCTTGGTTAATGGTCTAACTGCTCAGGCATGCGAAACATGAGTACCCCCCTCCCCCCCTCCGCACCTTGCTACCGACCCCCCCCCCCCCGCCGTCCTTCCGTCTTACCTAACGCGCGACAAACGGGAGCAGCGGAGCTCTGGCCCCCCCGAGGTAGTGATCGCGAGCCCCGTGGTGCACTTGCTGGCGACGGAGCTGTCCAACTACCGGCATACCGTCCGGTCGACGGCGAAGAGGGCGATCGAGCTCATGGCGGCGGCCAAGGGGTGTTCGACGACGGACATACTGGCTCCCTGCAGGGGGGCCGTGGAGGGGCACATCTTTTCGAAGCAGCTCCGGGCGGTGCAGGTGTGGTTTTGGTGGAGGTGGTGGTGGTGGTGGTGGTAGGGTAGTCATGTTGTTTTGTTGCTTTGTCCACTGTATTTGTTGTCTGTTGCTTGTTGCTATCGTCGTCGGCATTTTGTTTTGTTCTTTCTCGCTTTGCTCGTCGCCAGAAAGGCTAGAGTCATCCATTTCAACAAGCCTGCCAGGCAGATACGAATGGAGTACAGGTGCCTGGGGACGGCGGGGGTGGTACATGCGGAGACTTGCTCGAAACATAATGCCAGCAGCAAGGCCTGAGCGGCTTTGGGTGAAAGCGGCCTGGGGGGGGGTAGAGAGTCGCGAGAGAACATGTGAAGCTCAAGATTTAACATTTTATGATGGTACAGACGCATTTTGTGGTATCTCGTGTCCCCGGGGAATGGGTCGATAGGAAGGAGGTATGCCCTTCATCCCGATCTCCTCCACATGGTCCCGATTTTTTACACCATTGCCCGTTGTCACGCCTCGCAAACTCTCGCCTTTTTTTTTTTGCGGCTGTTCCTCAGGCTTCTCAGCAGGTGGGCATGCTCGAGGCGCTGACGTACGGCCTGATGCTCAAGCCGCAGCTGCTGACGGTAACTTCCAAGGTGATGCAGATCTTGGGGGAGGTGCTGGCCATGACGGAGACTGACGACCTCGACCCCGGGCGAAACGCGATCCCGGCTCTCTACAACTCCCTCCCCGGCTCACGTTCCACGCACACGGGTTTCCCGTCGAAGACGGGGGTTCGGGACATGCAGTCTCCCTCGGAGCTGCCGCACGTCGTGCAGGTGTGGGTGGTTGTGTGTTGTTTGCTGATGCTGTTGCTGTTCTCGTGAAGTGTGTTGGGTGTGTTGGGTGTTTGCTGTTTGCTGTTTGCTGTTGCTATTGCTGTTCTTTGCCGCATGCCTTTCATGTGCGGTGGTTGTGTTCTGTTTGCTGCTGCTGCTGCTGCTGCTGCTGCTGTACTCTGTTCTTCACGTGTGACCCCCCTACCCAGTACCCTGATCCAACCGGCAAGACCCGATTCCCAGTCGTCATTACAAGCTCCTGGGCGTAGCCTCTCACCGACCCATTCGCAACATTTCCGTCGTCTGTTCTCGCTTGCTTCATTATCGTCTGATATCATCCTTGCGATGACCCGTGTGTTGGTGTAGTTTTTTGCGGCCATCTCCCTGCGAAGCGGTGTGTTTTTGTGTGTTGTAGGTCGTGTCTCCGTGTCAGAAAACTGTAGCGTGTGTGCTTGTTTTCGTTTACCTCGTGTCTCCGCGAGAAGCTGCCGTGAAAGCATGTATCCCAGCTCGTCTTTTTCTTTTTCTCATCTCTATGCGCTTTTCTTTTTGCCGCCATCACGACCGCCCTCCAGCTGCGTGTGTCTGCGATCCGACTGATGCACATCGTGATGGTGACCAAGCCGGAGGCGTTCATGGAGACGGACGTGCTCAAGGACGCCCGCACGCGGTGCATCTCGCTGTTCTTCAAGAGCCTCACCAGCAGGGCCGACCAGGTACTGCTGTACCTTATTTTACCCTTTTTTTTTCAGAGAGGATGGGCGTATGTACCAAGTGGTTATATGCTTTTCTTGAGGCATTGGTTTCTCCTTGGTTTGGTTATTTATATCTATACTTTTTTTGTTTGTTTGTATGACGTACCTTTTGTGAGCCAACGTTTCCTTGTGCCATCGCTTTGTATGGGCATTCTCTTTCTCCATTTGTTCGGTTTAATCACATTTTGTACCGTTTTTGGTTTGCCTTGCGGCTGCGGAAATCATCCGCCTTTGTACGCACCAGGGAGGCTGAGAATTTGAGTGCCAATTGTCTCAGCCTAGAGACGCTCCCGCTCACGTTTTTGCAGCTTCATTCCGTAGCCGAAAACGGGTTTGAAACCTCCAATGGATGAATCCTCGATGGGATGTTGGCAAACCACAGCTCGACGCTCATCGGCACGTGTCTTGGGTGGTCGACACTCGTCGAAAATCCCGTGTTGTCTCTCTACGAAACCCAACAGGTGGTGGACGCAGCCCAGGCGGCGCTCGTGCAAGTAATCTTCACGAACCGGCAGTTTAAGGACAAGTCCGGCATGCCCAAAGACCTGCTGCAGTCATGCCTCCGCCCGGTGCTCAAGAACCTGACGCACATCCAGAAGCTCAGCCTGCCGCTGCTGCAGGGGCTGAGCCGCCTGCTGTACCTGCTTTCGAACTGGTTCAACGTTACCCTGGGCGACAAGCTGTTCGGGTACCTGCGGCAGTGGACCGAGCCGCAGAAGCTGCAGACCTTGCCTGACCCGAAGGTATGTAGTCGCTGCTGCTGTTAGTAGTGTTATCGGAAGTGGTGTTTTTTCTTGTTCTTTGGTCGGAGTGTTGATGTTTTTGTTGTTGTTGTTGAAGGTGGTGGTGGTGTTTGGTGTTGTTATTGTCGTCGCAGGTGTTGTTGCTGCTGCTGTTTTGTTGTTGTTGTTGTTGTGGGTGGTGTTAATGGTGGTAGGGTTTGTTGATGGTGTTGATGTTTGTTGTTGCGCTGTGCTCTGGCTCCATAACCTCCAATACTATCCGCTCTTAACCTTCCCCCCGCCCCCCTCCCTCGCTGGCCACTTTTCTCACAGGGATGGAAGCCCGGAGAGGAACCCGACGTGGCGGCCGCCATAATGGGACTCTTCCACCTCCTGCCGCACTCCCCGAAGTTCTTGGACCAGCTCGTCAAGCTCACGCTGCAGCTCGAAACGGTTCTGCACAGGTGCGAGAAGGCGCGGAGAGGGGGGGACTCCCGTGTGCAGTAGTCTTGCCAATTCTCGCCTGTTTGACGTGGTGCTACAGGTGCTACTTAAGGGAGGCACGCAGGATGTGCACGCCAGAGGCCGTTATTGTTCCGATGTCCAACCCCGAATCAGCGGTTCTTCGTCATTGGCGGCTGGCTGGCTTGGCAAGCCATCAGGGTCTTGGCTTGCCACGAAAGTGTGTTGCGTGGTGTAGTATTGTGAGACGACTTGTCTCTCCTCGACCCCCCCCCTTTGCCCCGTGCTGTGTCCCAGTATTGTCGAGACTCAGTTCTCTCTCCTTCTCTCCCTCCCTCCCTCTTTCTCCGTCTCCTTTTCCCTTCCTCCGTCTCTGTCTCTCTCTGTCCCTCTCTCCGTCTCTCTTGTTCCTTTTCTCGTGTTTTCAGGTACGACAACTACAGCCGGCCTAGCAATCCTTTCCTGGTTCCCCTGACCAAGTACCTCGACCGTTACGCGAAGGAAACCATGGAGTACTTCTTGGACAGGGAGAAATTGGGGAAGGCGCCCACGGCAGGGCTGCTGGTGAGGTTTAGGTGTTCATTGTTGTGTTCGGTTGACGACTTTCCCCATGGCGCCAGCAATATCTTGCTAAGGTCAAAGCGTAGGTGCAACACACGGAGCAAGAGGAAAGAAAACGGGTGCCAGAAAGAAGCATTTGTTTTTTGCTCCTGAAAACAATGTTCCTACGTGGCATTGAAGCATGTTCTTGTTCTTTATCTGTGCGCTGTAATTTACTGTTGTCTTGAGAGAAAAATGCGCCCCCGTATTTGCTGAAGTTTTTCGTGCGTAGTTGTGGGTGTGTGAGTTTTGTTTGTACTTTCCTTGAAAATTGTTGTCGTTGTGCCTTCCGTGCGCGATTTGGAAGGTGCAAGTCCTCGCGGAAGATCTGGCGAAGCCGCTCCGTGAGAAGATGGGAAGCGCCCAGTACACCGACGTCCTTCTGGCCACGTGCTTCCAGGAAACGGTCGACGCTACCAAGGTACAGGCGTACTTTAATTTTTTGGGTTTTTTCTTTTGCAGAAACGCTTATTTTATCCCTTGGACAAAGACCCGGCCGGATATGTTGCACAGAACGGGCACGATTGTTGATGATTATCTCAATTTCTTTTCTCGTCCAATTTTGGCGGTTCATCACGTTCTTTTCTCTTGTCCAACATGGCGTCTTGTGCTACAACACCATCCACCCGAGGTGGCCTGACCTGGTCATGATTGAGTTTCTTGCGCGAGGGAAATCTCGCTCCTTCTGTTTTCTCGTCTTCTTGTCTGCTTGATTTGAATTCATGTTCTGGGGGCTACGCGTGATACGTTTTTCCTCCTGGAGTCGGTGCCCCTCCATCTTGCATGTATATCCTTGGTTAATTGTGTACGTATGTCCTGAAATATTCACACGAGTAGGCGATTTTCCTTTTTTTATCCTAGAGGACGGTGGTCAATGGTCTAACCGCTAAGGCATGCAAATCATAACTACGCCCCCCCCCCCATCCCCCCATTCCATGCTGTTGTATGCCAAGGCGGCGACGGGCAGACACTTTGTGACAATCCTCGACAGCGCTCGGCGCAGCTCCGAGACGGCGGAGGGTCGTCTGGTGAAGATGGTACAGGAGCACAACGCCCAGGTTCTGGCGTTGGACGACCTGAAGAAGAGGAGGGACGCTGCCATCGAGGTTTCCAGGTGCATACATTCATGTTCGAGATCGAAATGCCTCCCCCGCACCACCCCCCTCCATGGTAGCGGTGGAGTCTGCCACATGAAACAACGGTACTGTCCATGTCAACAACGACCATAGCAACCGCAACAAACAACAACGACAACAGGCGAGCCCAAGCCCCGAATCCGGCGGAAGGAGAGGGTGCTACTGGCGCTGCCGCTCCTAACGCGGCTGCTGCTGCTGCGGCGGCAGCCCAGGCGGAGCAACGCGTGCAAACGACAAGCGCTAAGCTGGCGTCGTTGACGAGAACACTGGGAATGGTGAAGGAGGTGTGTGTGTTGCGGGTGGTGTTGTTGTTGGTGCTGGTGTTGCTTGCCTCTGTTGTTATTGCTGTTGCTGCTGCTGCTGCTGCTGCTGCTGTTGTTGTCGTCAGTTGCGGTGGAAGCGGTGGTAGTGTTGCCTGTTTCTGCTGCTGTTGCTTGTGATGGGAACTGGATCAAGTCCTTTTTTGTTGGGCATGCTCGAATACTTCGTGCCGTGTTTTTGTGTTGTACATCATCAACGCTTGTGAAAGTAAATTATCACCGGGGCGTGCGCTTCTCAACGTTCCAGCGGGTAGCTTGTTACCGTCGGTATTGAAGCAGTCGCTCATCAACCGCTTGCCAATAAGTGCAGCAGCACCAGTAGGACCGATCGTCCTCGCTTACCCCCGCGCCTTTTGGAAGAGCTTTCCGGATTTTGCAGCGCGTTTTTTAATTCGTGGCTCAACCGAAACGAGTCGTTGTGTAAGCCACCTTTTTACAACTCCAATGTCTTGCCCAATGTCTTGGAAGTTCCATGACATGAAGCGACTATTTGTGCAACAAGGAAAGATGTGAGTGACTGTCATTTTCTTGTATGCGTACTTTTTATTGTATTTCTAACTGTTGGTGTTCGGGAGGATACATGCCCGTATCGCGAGCGCGCTCATCAATTTTTTTGTGCTCTTTGTCACGAACCCCCCCACCCCCCAATCCCCCCATCCCCCCACACCGCCCCACCCCCAGGTGGTCAGGCAGACGAAGCTCACGATCGCCGCCCAGCAGAAGCGCATCGCCGCCCAGCAGGCCACGGGTGTCCAGCAAGCTCCCGGCGGAGGCTTTCGCCTGGGGGGGGACGAGACCGTCCTCATCCCTGCCCCCGGCGCGTACCCGACCTCCCTCAGCCGCGAGTCCGCGGAGTGCCTGCACCAGGGTCTGCGGGTGGTGTATGTGCTGGCTCAGTACATGCCCAAGTACCTAGAGGTCAGTGGTGATGTTTGTTTCGAAGTTTCTTTGTGATGTTGTAGTTGTTGGGGTTGCTGTTGCTGTCGTTGTGGTTGCTCTTGTTATTGTTGTTGTGGTTGTTGTTTTTGTTTTTCCCTGTTGACCAAACCACAAACACGTTGTTGGCTTTGGGGGTAGATTTAGGTTGTTTTTTTACGTCGTCGGACCGAGACTGTAGCGCAAGTTCGGCCAAAGCAAAACCAGGGTACCCTACCTGCGGGTGAGAATTCGATCTGTTGGACCCACTCCGTCGTTCTTCTGTGAGCAAACACCTCGGCAGCGTTGTCGGTACCAGAGTTATCGAGCGCGAAATACTTTGACCTAGTCTATACACAGAAAAGCTGTGGCCCCGGCTGGTGCGTCCAGAAATTGTTCCGAAATATATTGTTGACTGGCAACCAGAAGAGACGGAACGAAAAACACACCACGTACGTACCGTACTTGCGTGCTTGTGACTGCTGCTGCGTTCTGAGGTAACGGTCGGCCTTGTCTTTTTTTTATGCCACCCCTCCCCTGTCCTTTCGAGGACTGACGCGTGGTCAATGGTGTAACCGCTGAGGCATGCAAAACATAAAGAGTACCCCCTCCCCCCCCCCCTTTTTTTTTTTTTTTTGTTCTTCAGAAACAAACGAGGGTGGTGGCGACGCTGCGAGAGGTATGGAGGGCGCACGCTTGCCGCCGCAGGGACCTGGGCATGACTGCCAAGTCGCAGCAACAGCAGCAGCAGCAGCAGCAGCAGCGCACGACCAAGTGAGCGACAGAAACGCGAAAAGTTGACTGACTCGGGTTTGTCATGAAATGCCTTGTACAAGTACACCTTGTAGTTTCGAATGTCGCACCGCCCCTAGTGGGGGCGGGAAGTCCATTTAGTGCACCGCGATGATCCCATGCCGTTGCAGCAGCAACAGCGGCAGCAACCATGACGGCACCCTTACTTGCAGGTTTATTCATGTACGCCTGCTGTTGTGATTACGTAGCCCATCGTTATTATCCCACCGGATTTCTTTTCTACCATACAGCAGTCTGCCGATGCTATCTCAGTCGCCTTGCTTCGTCCGGATAGTTGTCTCTTCACTCTTACCTCGGTTTTATTCTTTCTCTATTTTGTATTCTGATATTTGTTGATTGCCTTCTGTCATACCGTATCCATTAAAAACCAGCAGCAGCGCCTCCCGAGAAGAAAACGAGGGCAAGCTGATCATCAAGTGCATGATGGAGTGCTACCGGGCGCACCCGGGGCAGGTGGCAATGCTGCTGGACATGGCGACGGTCTTCCTCTACCCCACTCCGGTGGACTTCACTTTCCTTAAGGTCGGCCATACTCTCGCTTTTTTTTTGCCAAGTATTGTGTTTCTTTTTTATGTTTTTAAATCACCGCCGCCGAGAAGACGTGTCGGTGATATTTTCGAGGCTTGGTATTTTTTTTGTCTGTTTTAGTTTTTGCACCTTGTTTGGTCAGACATTGGTGCACGTTTTTTTTTGTGCGGCGATGGTGGCGCGCACCCGGCGACTGCATCCATTCCTCTCCCAGTGGGCTCAACTTCCCAGAGAGTCACTGTTTCACCTCCTATCCTGTTCATCCTATCCAACGACCCCCCTAGCCCTCCAGTTTCGTCACACACAAAGGCCTGCTTTATGAAATCCCACCCCCTTGGAAAACCACACTCGTGTGCGTGTGGGAACAGTGCTCCGTCCTCTCGAGGACGCGTGGTCAATGGTCTAACTGCTACGTCATGCAAACATGAGTCCCCCCCCCCCTAATCCTATCCTCGGTGTGCAGGATTTCTACCGGTTCGAGGTGCCGGCCCTAGCGGGGATCTCCGAGAAGCGCGCCCTGTTCCGCGTTTTCCTGGAAACCCTCCGCGATCCCAACCTCACGGGGGAGCACAAGGTCAAGTGCCTGTCTCTCGTCGTGATTCCGGTCCTTACCACTACGCTTGAGGACCCGCACACCAACAACGCCGAGGTGGTAACGGACTCGCTGGTGAGTTATCTTTTCGCGTTATTCCATACGAAGAACTCCATATCTATTTTTCTTCTTGCAGTAGTGTGATACCTCTGGTTGGTATCCGGATTCGCGTGGACACTTCAATTTAGCGGGCACCCCAATCTAGCTGTTCAGAGCATGACGCCGTTTGTGTCACGCGATTCACGCCTTTCCCGGGAGCCCGGAATCGCACTACCGGCCCCCCTCACATGTTTTTGGGCTACGAACCACAAACTAGCTACGCAGAGCCGTTCGCAAACCAGCCCTTCTGCATCGCGATTCACGTTTTGGCCGGGTACCCGGTATCGTACCGTACTACCGAGCCCCCGTCACACTATAAGGCTACATACGAATCCCTGTCGTGAATATGGTTGTAACGTTTGTTGCTTTGCTGCTTTTGTGTGGTTGGGCAGGTGAGTCGGCTGGTCCACGAAGGGTTCGGTGGCGAAGGGAACCAGAAGTACCCCGAGGGGTTGCGGGTGGAGCTGCTCAAGCTGGGAGCGCTGCTGATCGAGTTCATGCACAAGGAGCTGCTGGATCACCGCAAGGAGCTCATCAAGTTCGCCTGGAACAACATCAAGGTAAAAGTGCCTGGAGTTTACGCCGGAGTCCTGTGAAGCTGCACCGCGTTGCACTAGGATTGCCAAGGTTGAACCGCATGATGATTGCCGAGGTTGCACCGCATGTTTTTTGACGAGGTTGCACGGCATCTTGCTTGCAAAGGTTCCGCCGCATCTTGGTTGCCGACGTTGCACCGCTGCACTTTTTCAAGTGTTATTCCGCCGCTTCATGAAGGGTCGGACTGCCCTCTTTGCTGTGTGTGCACGCACACGCGACAAGCCCGACGGTGGAAGTGTTGTACAAGATGCCGTTTCCCCCATGAAGTGTTGCTCATGAAGCCTGGTCTGTTGAACCGGTCGGGTTTGTTGGGCCGATTGGTGGTTTCATGGCGTTCACTGGGGTCAGCCGACTCGAGCTCTTGCCAAACCCGCCCCATCGAGACTTGATGAAATCCCACTCTCTTCTTTATGTTCTTTTTGAATAGGCAGCAGGTAAGGACAGAGAGGCAACACTGGAGCAACCACACGTGCTGTGCCTTCAGCAGCAGATCAGGAAGTGCGTCGCATTGTTTGAGTCTCCCCTGCAACCCCCGATACCCCCCGCGTTCGCCTTCCTGTACGAAACCCCTTCATCATTGGTGGTCTGTGCGTGGGTAAAATGAAACCATAACTAACGAAACAGGTGGAGGACAGCGGGAAGCACTGGGCCTACGTGAACGTGTGCCGTTTCATCTGCGCGTACGACACGCCGCCCAAGATCATTCTACAGGTGAGGAAAAGAACACGCCCACAATGTTCGCATTTGTAAAACGCATTGGAGTAGATGCTTTGGTCCTGGTTTTATATTGGAAATTGTGTATGGACCTGGTCCGTCAACTAATGTTCTTATTGTGTGCGGTATGGTGCCCGGGATTCCCCCCCACAGGCTATAGCCCTGTCTGAAGTATTTGTCAGGGATGTTGACAGTGATATGTCACGATCATATGCACATCTATCTACCTATCGCTCTGTTTTTGTGCAGGTTTACGTTCAGCTGCTGCGGTGCATCCAGCCGGAGGTGAAGGAGCTTGTCCACGCCGCGCTCGACATCCTCGTGCCCGCGCTGCCCTTCAGGCTCACGACCGGGGTGGGTGCAACCTCCGGGAGAGGCAGAGAGTAGTTGGAGGGGGGTTCGTGTTTGCGTAGGAGGAGGAGGGTACCTGCTCGTTTTTCGTGGGTGCCCCAGTAAGGCAGAGGGGTTTGAATCAGGTTGGTTGCTTGGCGGGTTCTTTAATCCGCTGGTTAGAACAACTACCGCCGTCGCTCTCACGCTCCTCAGTTGCTTTGTTAGGGTTGAGGGCTAAGTAGCCAGGAACATCGTGTGGGTGGGTGCATCACGGAGTGCAGGAGGTGGTAGTGGGAGGAGATCGCGTGCCGCGGACGGTTCAGAATACAGTACCTCGAGACGAGTCTGGGTGAAAAGGAAGTAGAGTCGCCTTGTTAGCGATGCTTAAGGGTAAGCACCACATATGCTCAGTGGGGGAGTCTTGAATGCTGCATCGTGGGTCGGAGCTCAGGATCAACTGGACGCAGGACGCCTTCTGTTTTTTTCTACTCACCCGGTTGGCTGTAGCTGGCTAGGTATCCGGGGGTCAACCCTGTTAGATGCTCCACTCGAATGCGCCGGAGCGGACGAGACAAGGTGACCACCGCCACTGGCCGTATTAGCTGCGGACCACGCCGGTTGCTACTCTACCGTACCCCCCAAATTGCGGAGCTAAAGCTACAGGCTGCATAGGAGGGGCGTTTCACGGCATCGGGCTTGTACCCCCTCCGTGTTTCGGTCCACGAATGAAGTTGGAGACGCATAAAAACACTTTCGAGGTGTGTCTATCCGATCGACCTGCTGCCCCTCCCTCTCCACCGCTCGGAGGAGGGGCAGCAGGTCGATCGGGCAGACACCTTGAAAGTATTTTTCTACGTCGTCAAGTTCATTGGTGGACCGTAACACGGAGGGGGTACAAGCCCGATGCCGGGGAACCGCCCTCCTATGCAGCCTGTAGCTTTACCTCACCTGTAGTACCTACCCGCACTTGTTGCACGGGGTTGTTTTGAGGTTTTATCTCCTTCTCGTGTGTTCGCGCTCAAATGCTTGGGGGGCGCAGGAGTTCATGAAGGCTATCAAGTGGACCAAGAAGATCATGTACGAGGAGGGCCACGCGCTGCCGCAGCTTATCCACATGTGGCACATGATCGTCAGGCACCCGGCCCTCTTCTACAGCTGCCGCAGCCATTTTGTCGGGCAGATGGTCAACTCGCTTAGCCGCCTGGGGCTGCCACCCAAGTACGTCATTGTTGTTGTTATCGTTGTTGCGTATGTTGTGTCGGTCGTCATCGTTGTCGTAACTTTCCTTGATTTTACTGTGGCTGCAAATGGTCAAATCGCACATGCGCACCATCCCCACGGCCGATTCGTGCGGTTGGTATTCTTTTTTCTCGTGTATGTACTTTGTTCTTTGGCGTTACCTTGACTTGCGTGCCCCGATTATTATGCACTTTCCTCACGCATGGCATTTGAAATGAGGTAAACAAGGTACTCACTTCCTGACTGTTCCCACTCCTCCTCGATCCCCGCTCCTCCACTCCGCGGCAAACAAAAACCTACGGCCAATCGTGTGATTTCTTCCTCCCCCCCGTCCCTTCGGCGTCTAAATCACCTGCAACAGCTGCCCGCGAGAAAACCGTCAACTGGCGGTCAGCCTGGCCGACCTCATGATCAAGTGGGAGGCGCACGGCCGAGAGCTCACCCGGTTGCGCCGCGCCGCTACCGCCGCTGCTGCCGCCGCTGCTCCGCCGCCGGAAAAGGACCCGGCGGCCTCGAAGGGAACGAAACGGTCGTTAGAGACCGGCGCCGAGGGAACCGCCACCGCCGCAGCCGGAACACTTACAACGGCGGCGGCGGCTACCGCTGTGCCGGCGGCTGCAGTGGCCGGCCAACAGGAGCAAGGTCGAGAGAAGGTGATGAAGACAGCGACGGGGGCTGCCCCTGGTGCGGGTGCCGGTGCCGGCGGCATCGCGGGTCCCGCCGGGGCGGCTACGGCGGCTACGGCGGCTACGGCGGCTACGGCGGCAGCAGCGACGGCGGCAGCGACGGCGGCGGTGGCTACGGCGGCGGCTACGGCGGCGGCGGCGGCGGAAGGGACGACGGACAGCTTTTCTCTGAGCAAGTCTTCGGTAAGGAGAGAGAGGGAGAGAGAGAGAGAGAGAGAGAGAGAGAGAGAGAGAGAGAGAGAGAGAGAGAGAGAGAGAGAGAGAGAGAGAGAGAGAGAGAGAGAGAGAGAGAGAGAGAGAGAATAGAGAAACGGATCAAGAATGAAGGTTGTTCGTTGTCGTGGCATTCATAAGTGGTGTTTTTTGTGTTGTTCCTTGCATTCTAGGCTTGTTTCTGGGGGATGCCGCCACTTGCCCTTTTGTAACTCGGTGGTGGGATAATTTGCCCGAGGCTATGTTGGCGTGTGCCCGTGTGATGAGCGTTGGGGGCGTTGACTGAACGACCTCACTTCTTCACTCTCGCCCATCGCCACCGCCGCCGTTACCATGTGCTTACGCTGCTGCTAAACAACTTTCACCCACCACGACGATGATGACGACGCTCTTCTGCCTTGCTCAGGTGGAGACGGTGGTGAACTTTGTGGTGAGGGTCGCCCTGTTCGCGATGGCCAACCTCAAGGATAGCGGCATCGCTCACCTCTCGAGGCGGTGCCTCGGCCTGCTGGAGAAGGCGCTCGAGCTCTGGCCTGACACCCCCATCAAGTACACGTGAGAAAAGCACTTATTAGAAGGAAACCAGTATGGTTTTCTGAGGTATGCACATTTGGTGTGGTGTATGCATATTTCGGACGGTATGGTTTTCTGGGGTGTATCTTTGATAGAAGTTTCTGGCAAATGCTCAGCAGTCCCGTGCGCCTAGTAAGGACTAGGGGTCGGCACCCCTAGAACCCGCAGGCTTTACTGTTTGGAACAATACAAGCAAGGCCAGGAATCCCTGCACCGAGCCCGTTAGGTTTGTACCAGGGAGTCTGTGTACAACGAACACCATTCTACAGCAAGGGTCCGTCACAGATATGGCGTACAGACATGCAATAGATGACATATAAGTATACAATGTTCCCCCCACCCCGCCCGGTGTGCTTGTCCTCCCTCCTCCAAAACCACGACCCCGCTCATGACCCACATATAACACGGGCTGTCAACCATCCTACTTGAAATCTTCTCCTGCTTTGGCACAGGTACTTCGAGAAGCTAGTGCACGTGATGGTCGACATCGACCCGCAAACCGCCTCCCAGCCTCAGCTACAGGCTACGATGAAGGCCTTGCCTGGAGTGCTGGAGGTGAGAAAAGGACGTTACATGCTGTTGCTGGTGTTGTGGTCGTTAACGCGCTGTAGGCGGAGTTGGTGCTATAGCCGACGATGACCCTGATGGACGCCCAGGGTGCTTGAGGCTCGCGGGAGTGTGTACGGAAGCGGTAGGGTTTGTTGTGGCTTTCTGTCCCCTTCTTCATGTCCCTTCTCGACATTCCTTCACCCCTTCCACCCCCGTTTGCCGTCATTACCCCGCAGTAGCCTGCATTTGCCCGCGTTTTGGTTTCTTACCCCGTCCACTCCTTTTTCTTGCCCTGACAACAGGCGTCTCTGGACATTTTGATCATCTCCTTGGGTACCGAGGAGTCGACCGCCGCCACCAACACCTCCGGAGATGCCACCGCCTCGCCTGCCACGGCGGACACAACCTCCGCCACGAAGACCCCGGCCAGAGTCCCCAACAATTTCGTGCTCCAAAACGTGGCCAAGTTTCAGCGCCTGCTGGGACCCTCCCTGCGTGCGGACACCCCCGGGATACGGCAGCGCCTGCTCCGGCTGATCCGGCGGCTCGCCGCTCTCTACGGCCCCGGGGAAGCCCCCAGGGAGTTCCAGGAGGCCAAGTTCTGGGACAACTTCCAGGTGAACGCAATGTTTTTTTTTTTGTCAACAAGCCCCGTCGCGGTTTGCGCTTCCGTATGCACGCACGCACCGTCGTACGACTCTGTTTGGAAATGCAAGGATCATTTGGATACAACTGGTATATCCCAATGGTCTCTATATTTCCAAACAATTGTGGTATGTAGGTAATCGACGACCACAAGGAATGACACATCTCAGGTGCGATGCGCAACACGACCAAATGTGACCAGAGCGTGCAACGAAGACCCGGTGGACATAACATGACTGGCTTCGCGCAAATATCTTGAGATTCCTTTCAATCCGCCAACAATGACTTGGCACGTATCACCACTTCGTTGTACGTACACTCCTCCCAATAGCGCTGTAATAAGTACATCTCTCTCTTGGCAGACAAACAAGACACCTTGTGGCTGGCATTGGTAAGTGAAATATCAGATTTTTGGCACGCTGCTTCCTGCAACAAGACTTGTTTGGAACAGCCCATGTCGCTGTCTCCACGAGAACCGTCGTGATGAGGAGCACGTAAAGCTGCATCAGTTGTTGCTAAGCGTCTGTCGACTACCGATAAAGTGCAAAGAGGGACCCCGGTCGAAATTCGACTATGATCGTTCAGACTCCCTCCCCAGCCACGTTAAGCCACACCGGGATACCATACCGCACCGGGATACCGTGCCGCACCGAGGTACCGTGCCTCACCGGGATACCGCACCGCACCGTAATGCCGCACCGAACACCGGCCTCAAAGCAGCCGAACTACGCACGTGGTATGACTCGAGGAGACAGCAGTACCTGTCGTGCGTGCCCCAAGCACGCCATGTCTTCGGTTACCTCACGTACGTTCCTCCTGCCCCCCACAGGGATCCGTGGAGCGGAGGCTGAAGGCGGCACTCGGCGAGAAACCGCCGCCCCCGGCAACCCACCCGACAGCCTGGTACGGCAGCGCCGCGGCCTCGGTCTCGGCGACGGCGTCGGTGGCGGCGGCGGCGGCCAACGGGGGCGCCGGCGTGGCCGGCGAGTACAACCGCAGCAAGGCGCTCTCCTCGGTCAAGATCGTCGAGAGCGTGTCGGCGGCGTACCCGGCGTTCGCGGACTTCCACGCTGCGAGCCTGATGGACCTCGTGAGGATGCTCTCGAGGCAGCACTTCCTGCAGGCCGGGGTGGTGGCGAGCACTCTGGCGGCGAGGTGCGCAGTATTGTTTGTGCATGTGTGGTAAATAACCTTTTTATGTCCTTGCAGTTGCCGTTGCCGTTGTTTTATTGTTGCTGTTGCTGTTGCTGTTGCTATTGCTGTTGTTGTTGCTGCTGCTGCTTGTATAGGAAGGTGTGGAAGGCATTTTTTATCCTTGCAGTTGCTGCTGTTGCTGCTGCCGCGACCGTGCTTGCCACCAAGTCGTGGCACCCACAAACCCAACCCGTTGTTTCACCGTGCAATTTTCTCCGCCGTGGTCAACAGGTACGGCGGAAACGCTGCCGCGGTGGCGCTGCCGCCAGGGCTCGTGGGCAGCGACCCGATGAGCCCCAGCTCGAGGCTGCTGCCGACGGCCAGCATGGCGGTGCTCAACACGGCGGTGACGGTGGAGTTCGTGGTGGACGACGCCCCCCTGACGGAGCACGTCGAGGTGCGGAAAACCCCGAGGCGTGTTTGCGTTTTTGTCTCTGTGGCCGAGATTCACGCGGCCTTACGGTTTTCAAAGGAAGTTGCAAAAGGGTTTCTGATCTTCTAATAAAGGTATTTGGGTAGTTCGCGACACGTGTTTCCTGTCTGGTGATCGTACACATGGGGAGAAGGCAGACGCTTTCTCAGCGGGAGGTGAAGAGCATTTAGCTAGACGGGGGTAGCTAATGGTCGAATTATTAATAGTTGATTGATTCCGTGTTATTGTGTGGTCAGATTTCGAAGGTTCTCTCTGGGTGCGCCGATCATTGTGTGGATGACGTCATTGCCGTACCTCCCAGGCCCTGGTGATTTGCCTCAAGCTGCTGCGAGGCATCACCGACCGCGCCCAGATCCCAGACAACAAGAAGGTGTTCCAGTCGCTTTCCGCGGCGTGCCTGAGCATCCTCGACAAGTCGGACAACGTGGCGCTCTTGACCACCGTCATGGGCTTCGTGAAGGACTGGCTTTTGAAGGAACCTTCTCAACCCAAGTCCCCGTTTCTGAGCGATCAGGTAGGGAGAAATTCGATGTAGAACGGCGCGTATCATGCAGAACATGTGCTGTGAGCTATTTTCTTTTTCGCGTGTTTTTGTGATTAGGATCAAGTTTTGGACACGTCCCTTGCTTTGGGATAATTTGCTCTTCATTGTCTTAGAGTTCACAGGGGATCGCCCTTCGCGGCTGGAGTAGGTGCCTTACGGCAGTATTTTGCTTTGCGTAAACCACCTCGAAGTACGATAAATCATTGCAATAGAGCTCACGGTGGGGGCGGGGTCTGCGCTCTGTTAGTAATTGTTGTTGTGGTTGCCTCTGCCTACCCGCTACTGCTGCCGTTGATGCGGGTCTCAACTTCGGTTGCGTCTGTTGACACACTTGCCAGACACAAACTGTATTGTGTGCACGTCCTCTTCGTCTTGCAGGTTTCCGTATGTACGCCTTCCAGTGTTTGGACTCATTCGTTGCCGTGGTTCGTCTGCTGTTTTCGGTTTCATCCTGACCGCCGTTGCTGCCATCGTCGCTGTTGCTGTTGTATTATTTTTGGTGTGTAATTCCTTTCTTTCAGGAACGAAAGATGTTCGTGCAGCGCCTGGTGCGGCTGGACAGACTGTCGGAGGTGCACGTGCAGTCAGTCTTCAAGCTGCAGCTGGAGGTGAGAGAAACAGACGCCGCCGCCGCCGCCGGTAGCTGTAGACCCACCGCGGCGGTTTTGCTAAATGGGGCACTCTGTGGTGCCTGGTGCTTCGTAGCCTTTGCCCGCCCTTTGCGACTTGTTGTTGTTGGCGGTGTTGTCGGCGGTGTTGTTGTTGTTGTCTTCGCATGCAATTCCGTTACAACTTCTTTCCAGTCGGCGTTCCTCCCACCTCTTCACAAGCCAACGAAACGGCTGTATGTGATGTCATGTGTTCCTCGAGCCGTTGATAATTTCAAGCTGCAGTACAAGTGGTGGTAATCGCTTACCAACCGCTTTCATAGCACCATGACCTAACGTTGTTTTTGTCGTTGTTGTTGTCTTCACACGCGAATCCGTCCCAACCTTTGAAGTATCCAGGTCCTCCCTAACACAACGAGCATCCGTCATGTTATCCGCCCTCGAACCCTTAAGCTACGTGGTGGTGAACGCAGACCATCCGCTTTCGTAGCACCGGGAGACCATCCGCTTGCAAGTACCGGGACGTAAGGTTGTTTCGTTGTTGTTACTGCCAATGCTAGGTCATCGACGCATTGGTTAACGTCCCGGAGGGGAGCACCATGCCCAAGTGGGTGCAGGCGGAGGCGCCCCGGCTGTTCATGGCGGGCTTGATGGCCGCGGACCCCGCCCTTCGCAGGTGTGTTTAATGTGCCTTCTTTGTTAGCATCGACCGCGTTAAGGGGCTGGCCAATGGCGCGACGTCAGTCTCAGTTTGGCTTATAACCGCAAGGGCTCCTAGGGACCATGATCTGGGACCCCGTGAGGGTGTGTGATTGCGTGTGCCCACTTTCTTGTGTGTCCTACGACGCATGTCCGTGTCTTGGGCGTACGTCCTTGTGTATTGTGTGGGTGCAATGGATGCACCTGGTTAACTGTCGATCTATGCTTGCGAAACAATTATACTCGTGTGTAGTGAGGGCGTGCCTCCGACTTGTGCCTGTACACGAATATTCGAGTATGGCCTCAGAACCAGCAGCGTCTCAGATGCATGTGGCTAATAGTCACATTACCAAGGCGAGCAAAGCATGACCCCCCGCCCCCCGCCCCAGATGAACACTATCACGGTACGACAGCAGTATTATTTGTTGAACTGGTTCTCCATCCTTTTCAAAGCATACCCCCCCCCCCAAAAAAAATTTGATCCGAAACAGGCGTTTCTCTCAGCGCCTGGTGAAAGAGGCGGGGACCGCCGCCGCAGCGGCGGCAGCAGTAGCGGCAGCAAAAGCAGCGGCCGGTCAGGCGGGCGGGGCGACGCCGGCGACGCCGGTGGGGGACGCCGTCACCGCAGGGAGCAGCGGCGCCTCCCCGAGCGCGGTTATCATGCACGCGCTCCGCCTGGACTGGGAGCCGTTGCAGCTGAGGTTTTGGCCGGCGGCGGTGGCAGATGCGCTTCTGGGTCTCGTCAACGGGGGGAGGGCCTTAAGCCTCGAGGATGACGAGTGCATGCGACCGTTCGTGGGTGCGGCGACCGGTGGCGTAGTGGGATGTGAGTTTTTTTTGTCATGATAGAGCTTGGGCCTCTGCTGTGTCCAAACAAGACAGCACCCGCCGTGATAAGGTTGGATGTTGGCACAGCAAACGCAAGGATGCTGACACTACCAGCTTCTGGTTCATCGTTGTTAAACGTAGCCTGGGCCGGCGGAGACCCGGCAAACCGCTCCGTCCCGGCATTGTAGGGATGCGAGGTCTATAGTCTAACGACTACGGTATGCACGACTATGAGTACACCCCCCCCCCCCCTCCCCTCCCCTCCTCTCCCCTCCGCTCCACAGCGCCCCCCGTCTTCCCTCCAGGGAGCGACCTCCGATGAACGAGACTGCCTCGCCGCCTACGCGTCCGCGCTGTCAAAAGCCGTGGGGGGGGCCGGAGAGGTGGTGGACCCTCTGCGGGGCCTCCTGCACGCAGACGTTACTATCGCCGACGATGTGTGGACGCGGACCCTCACGCTGGCGTGGGCTACCTTCAGCGACCGGCGGAGGGCTGAGTTCGCCGGGGTGGCGGGGTCGCTGCTGGCCAAGCCGTGGCATACCAAGGCCATGAACCTGCCCCCTCTCATGCAGGGGTCTCACAGCGTGAGTTTTGGTAGATACTCTGTTTTTCTTTTATTGTATTTTGTTTCTTTGTCCTCTGATTGAGTTTGATTCAGCCTGTTCACCGAGAAACTAACGATGCATGTTTTTTTTTTGCAAACACGCTGACCAACTGGGTGCTGCTGCTGTGCTGTTTAGCCTACTCCACGGTACACGGAGAAATCAGTGATGCCATGCCTTTCTACACAAACACGCTGACCACTAGGGTGCTGCTGCTCGTGCTTGCCACGTTGTGCGTTGCGTGTTGGTGGCCGTCCGTCCTGTGCCCCCAGGTTAACGTGATCCAGAGCTTGCTGGGGGCGATCCTAGCTCTAAGGCCGCTGCCCCCGCTCCCCGTTGATCTTCTGGGTGCGCTCGCCGTCGGCTTCAACGCTTGGCACACCGTCATCCCCGCGATGGAACACCAGGTTTGTTGCGGTACAGTACACCACCAGTCTCGCCTTCGTTGTTTGGTCGTTGTCGCTTGCTGAAAAGGGCTGACACGTGGCCATACCGGCTGTTTGAAATAGGTATCATGAACTGGTTGTGGGTGTGTTTTTTTGCCTGCTGCAGCTGCTCCTTGCTTGAATGTCCCAAACTGTTGTTTTTTGGCCGTTTTATTTCGAGTCTCGGACGAAGTGATCCCGGTTTCAACACTAGCTTTGTCGCGGACATCGAACAACTTTCAGGCGGTTTCAAAACCTGTTATACCGTTGTGAACCTTGAACCTGGCCTTGGAAGCGGTTTCTCTCGAAGAGACTGGCCCTCCTACAATGGTTGTAGCTGATTGGTTTCAATAAATACAGGGGGCTCCGCTCGAACCATCTCCACACGGGTGGCTCGTGCATGGCCGACTTGGCCGAAGGCAGGCAAAGGTAGCAGTTCAGTGTGACCACCCACCCTTCAGCTGCGTCCTGTTACAAGAATGCGCGATTCGTCAGACAACTCAACGCTCGAACTGGAGAGAAACACCCTTACCCCCCCTCCCTCTACTCCGTCGCAGCATTGTAGAGATGCGAGGTCAATGGCCTACCACTTCGGCATTCGTTGACGTGAATGCCCCCCCCCCCCCTCCTCACTACCTCACAGTGCTTTGGTGATGTGAGAGCCTGGTCCGGTGAGAACCCGGCGTGCTCCGTCCCGGCTTTGTAGGGATGCGAGGTCAATGGTCCAACGACTACGGCATGCACGACTATGAGTACCCCCCCCCCCCCCCCTCCTCACTCCCCGCACGACGCACGCAGGTGATGAACGCCTCTGTGGAAGGAGAGACCCCAGTGGATACGCATCCTGGCGTTCCTGTACAAGCACCTTGGGGAGGACGACGTCTGCAGCGCGCTCCGGAGACGTTTCGCGGTGTGCCCAGAAACCAAGGTAACCCGACCGACCAACAAACAAGCAGAAGTGTCAATAAATACGTGTACAAGTTTTCTCTTGGCTTCTTTTTCTTTTCGGCCGTCTGTACCGCAGGAGGGATAGGGGGCGCCTCAGGGGGCGGCACCCTTTTCGTGTGACCACGAATTGGAACTCGTACGCCTTGGAGGAATACTTTTTGGTGTCCATTTTTTTTTGTTCCTTGAAAGGTGTACCCCCCCCTTTGGTGGGGCAATTGGCTTGTGACCACGGAAGGAGTCCGCGTCAGTTGGACCAGTACCCACATTAGAAGGTACTGAGTGGAGACCGGAACGGTTTTTAACGTAAAGACAACAACAACAACAACCCAGCAGATAATGCTGTGAGCGCTGATTTGAAAGTGATCAACGTTTTTTTTTTTTTTCGCTTTAGCTTTGAGTTGTCTGGGTCATGGAGATGCTTATCCGGGCGGGTGTGGGCGGGTATGTGAGCGTATCTCTCCGTAGCTGCGGAAAGAGAACGGGTGCGAGCACACACCCGGCAGTAAGAGGAGCACAGCGGAATACATGCGAAGGTTTGCATGCTGCGTTTGTAGAGCTTGTCTCGTCGTCCTGGATGGGGGGGTTAGGTACATGCGAAGAGTGGATCCGTTTGCTTGTCTCATCCCCTGGGGTTGTTTATTTTCTCCAGGGGTGAGCCGTTGGCGGTTACATGAATGTGCAGAACTGGCGGCCGACGGCAGACCTGGGATTCAAAAGCGAGACGTGATTGTTTGTTGTGATAAATGAAATATATGGAGATAAAAAAAATGGCATGAAACCGTTTGATGATCAAAGTGTTTGGCAGTATCTGGGACACAATTTTACTTGGTGTGTTGAAAAAGAACATGGAGAAAGCGTTGCGTTTGATGATGAAAGTTTTGCGGCATGCTTATTCAGGTGGCGTTGTCGCTGGAGACGTACGGCTTAACGGTCGAGGCGCAGCATCTGTACCTAGACCTGATAGCGAGGGAGCAGAGCGGCGCAGGCACGGCGCACGTGAGCCAGGATGAGCTAGAGACGTGGGAGGTGAGCCAAGTCAAAACGGTGACCCAGTTCTCAGGTACTGCAGTATGCTCGAATTTGTCGGAGTTCGTCTGCTACAGATATACGTAGGGTATCTCACGCCCTGAACCGATTGTCGAGCTCCGATTACTCCACGACGAAGAGAATTTATAACTCAAACGATATGTTTTCGGAAAGCTCTTGACGAAGCTGTCCCAACGCCTCCCGCCTTTTGGGCGCCACCACCCTTTTTGGAGCTTTGCAAATCAGTCGAGGGTGTGCGATATCTAATGTCACCTACAGTGATGCCGACGATTGATTTCTTGGGAGATTACATGGAGGAAAACACACGACAGTGTTCATCACCAAGCGACCGTCTCGAGCGACAAATTGATGAAAACGATGATTCCGGTCGTTAATCCCCGCACGTCACCCCCTCGATGCTGCACCCCCCCTTGCTTTGAAAATGCGTCGCCCCCTCGCGTTTTTAGGAGAGATGGATCGATTGCACGAGGCAGCTGTCGCAGTGGAGCGTGTTGGTGGACTTCTCGTCAACGCTGCAGTACCCGGAGTTGATGATGGAGTCCGCGTGGAAGGCTCGCGCGTGGGACGTGAGTGTTCCGATCGTTGTAAACGTATTATAGTCGTTGTGTGGCCGTTGGTGCTTTGATGTTCCTGCTTCGTGACGGTGATGGTGGCGGCGATGGTGGCGGCGATGGTTAGAAACAACAACGCACTGGCAGCAGCAACGACAACAACAGCGCATGCTACACCACCAACGACAACAATGACAAATATCAGCAGCAGCAACAAGCACATTGTTTTGTTTGTTCGTAGGTGGTCCGTGCTAACATGGACAGTCCGACGGTGGCGGCGGCGACGGAGGGTGGCTCGCCGTTCTACAAGATCTACGAAATTTACTTGGTAAGTCGAGATGAACCGCGTGCGCGCCGCCTAGTAGATATATTGGAGGTGTCGTGTTGGGAAGACGCGCCAGAAGTCTGCTTTCACGAGGTGTGGTAAAGAGAGAGATGATAATATCTAGATGTATCTTGTGTGTGAAGAGTGCAAGGGCAACTGGGTATGCCAGTTTTTGTCGCACACCAAGCCTTGTGCGTGTGGTCCTGTGGCGGGGGATCCGCCAACGCGAACATCAAATCGGGAGGAGGTGCATGAGTAAACGGACGGCGGAAAAACATTGTTTGTCCGTCGTTAAATTCATCTTCGCCCCCCCCGAAAAACAAAAATAAAACACACGGCTTGTAACCCCACCCCGCCCCCCCCCACCCATGCGGCGTTCTGTCTACAGTCTATCGTGGACAACAAGGTGCAGGGGATGGAGAAGCTGTGCATGTCTTGCGTGCAGCTGGCGCTCCACCGGTGGCAGCTCTTGCCGAGGGTGCACACGGGTTGCGGCGCGCACAAGCCGCTGCTTCACCTGTTCCACCAGGCGAGTGGATTCCGTGCCTTTTCCCCCCTTATCTTAAGAAACGCAGATCGACTCGTGAAGCAATAAAGACCTGAGGCATGAGCGAGGGCGGCGTAAAATGGCATCCGAGCACAGGGATAAAAAAAAAAAGTAAACCCGGAAAAGAATGGAGGAACATGACTTTGTGTCGTGACGGGTAATGACTACGCGAAAGAGCCATGTATAGTGGCCGAATACATTACGGTGCTTCGCGCTTGGTTATGTGAGAGTCTGGTCCGGTGAAAACCCGGCGTGCTCCGTCCCCGCTTTGTAGGGATGCGAGGTCAATGGTCTAACGACTACGGCATGCACGACTATGAGTATGAGTATGACTACACCCCCCCCCATAAAATTTTTTCTCAAACACACCGAATATTGAATAATTAGGAGAACCCATACCCACAATTTTGGGTTGTCTCGGAGCGGAGCGGTTGGTCGGTCGCACTTTTTTTTTTTTTCATGGCCTTGGAAGACATTGATTCATAAATCTCACACCATAAAGCGGATGCACCAAACGCGACCGCAGATGGTTGAGCTGAGAGAAACGGGCAACATCATGGCCGACATGGCCAGGATGATGATGTCGAGCGGCGCCAACGGCCAGAAGCTGAACGGGGGCGCCCTGATCAACGCGGGCCAGAAAAAGCCTCCCGAGCTGAAGGCGACGCTGTACACGTGGCGGGAGCGGCTGCCGAACAAGTGGGACGCTCTGAAGGACTGGGACGACATCTTCTGCTGGAGGACCGAGGTACGACGCGAAGGGTGTCTCCCTGTCTAGCGTTTTTTTTTTATGGTATATACCCCTTGCTTAAACCCCCCGTCTAGGGTTGGGGTTATGTCCCTGTTCGGCGACCTTTTGATCCTTATAGTGGCTTCAAAAAAACGTGTACGGTAAGGGTTATGTCCCTATTTGACAACTTTTCTTATCCTACGCGTGGCGTAAACCGACGTGTTGAGTTAGGGTTCGGTTTACGTCCCTATTTGGGGACTTTTTGATCCTACCCGGTGCCTAAACCCCCGTCTAGCTTGCCGTGCGTTCACTCCGACTCGTGCACTGTTTCGTGGGCCACTGGCACGAGAAGTGCTTTTTTCGCCGGCGCTGTTGACAACACTCCTTCCTTGATGCTACTGCTATCGTTACTGGCGATGCCTTCATGCATGCCACGGACGGTTCCGATGCTGATGCTGTTACTCGCGATGCATACCACGAATCGGTTCATAACACCCGGTCCCACCTGCCTCGATTGTGCGCACACCACGGTGCCCCCCCCCCCCCCCCCATGGCGGACGGTGCTGTTTC